GAGAGAAGAGAGAGAGGGGGAGTTTAATAGTTTAATGTGGTACAGTAGACTTGTGTGTCATGATGTGTAATAATTTTGAGAATGAGAAGGTCAAACTCTATAAAAAAAACCTTTACGAGACCATACTGATCAACACCAGATGACAGATGTCCCTCCACTATTAAACAAAAGCCCCAAACTTGTCCCATATTGATTCATTTGATTGATTTAAAACACTTGAAACCTAAATAAATATCATGCATCCTAATTCCCTTGGACAGTATTTTTAAACAAAATTTATGTTTTGTTTTTCAATTACTATTTTGGTTTTTCATTTGCATATACATGTACTTGTGTGATGCGTATTCCATGAGTGAACTACATGTATTTGTTATGTGTATACAATAACTGGACACCCATCACATCATTATACTGTGCATGTACCGTACATACATTTTTGTTACAGATAGGGTTCTATTTCACTAAGTGTATGTACATGTACAATGAAAGTACCAGTATATATATATATATGATACAAAACGATCATTTAAAGATGAGGTTGAATTCTGGTCATGCGATTGATTTGTGAAAGAAACGGTGTGGTATTGACCAGAAAAGGTTGATCAACTAGCATATAAGAATTTGTGTGTATTGCAAGGTTCTGGAATCATCAAAATGATAAGAAATTTAGCCAAGTCTTGGTAAAGTTACAAACACAGTACAGAGAAAGATGTATATGGGACTACACGAACATGTGGCAAAAAAATCTGTCCCCGATTTGTATGATGTGACATGCTATATTAAGAACATTAGGCATTTGAAGAGCCATGCTTTTCAGGGAACATTTTTTACCTAATGTTCTTCCACACTTGCATAATAAGAATGATAACGCTCACAAATTATTTTTCACCTCTTTCCAGAACTCAACCTTCTCTTTAAACAGTGGTTCTTTGTTTAGTTTTGATCTTACATGGTCATTTTTAAAAGTGGTGAAAATTCATGATTTACAATCATTGTAAACCTACTTTTTGAATTTATAATGTGCACTGTACTGTATCAATAAGGATGGCAACTAGATTTTTATTTGATCTGATATTTAAGGGTCAATTTACTTGATTCGTACATACATGTTGGCAAATTACTGCAAATTGATTGAAGTCCTTGGTTCTTTTAAAAAAAAATTGTTATGCTTGATGGATAAACTTTAGGTTTTAAATTGTCAGCAAGTTTGATCCGATATCCCCACCTTCACCAATTCAAAATGGTTTAGCGATGACAGAATTATGCTAAAGGCATATTGATAACACCAACAGGAACATACAAATCAAAGACTAAGTGTAAAATCTTAGTGTTTGGTCATTAGAGCATTTAGGCCAAATAACAAAAATAATGTGTTTCTCGTCCAGACTTTAAAAAAAAAAGGAGGAGGCAGGTCATTACTATTTACTATTTTTCATTTTTTTTTCAATTTTTTTCCAAGATGGCTGCCATGCTAATTATAGCTGGCCAAGCCTATTTATTCACATATATTGTGCTATGTGAGTATACTGATGCGATGCATGACAAACAAAATGATTTGTATCACTTTAGAAGCTATTTAAACAAAATGTATATCACAGGGTTTTTTTCTTCTGAATAATAAACAGCAAAAAAAGAAAGCAGGTGGCCAGGACGGGAAACACTTCATTTTTGTTATTTGGCCTTACATGTATTAGAGTGATTCTATAGAAATTTGAGATTTCCACTAAAAGCAAATTTATTCTCTTGGAAGTTTTCCTGGTGCTTTTCTTTAGCTTTCCATCCCAGAACTCCAGAGTCCTACATATTTTCATTGCTCATTTAGTAAATGGTAGCTTGGGGAAAAGAAATCATGTTCCTAGAAAACTGACTTACATTCGAGGCTCCCTGGAGTCGGTCAACAATAGCTTGCTGAACAGCAAAGAATGAGGCAGGAATAGCTGATCCTGTCAACAAAAACATCAGGAACAAGTAGGTTAAAGGTAAAGACCAGTATTGGAAACGCCCCAATTTCAAAAAATGAAATGGAAGGTCTCATTACCAATCATGTGAAAGAATATGTTTTGACTAATACATGATGATACAAAATTTGCCGGGAAACCGCCTACTAATTCATATATTTGGTAAATTTGTTTCTCTCATGGTCTGTGAGAGATATAGGGTAGTCCCATATACATCTTTCTGTGTATAGTGCTTGTAACTTTTACGAAGAATGGGCCAAATTTCTTATCATTTTGATGATTCCAGAACCTTGCAGATGCTAGATGCTAGATGAACAACCTTTTCTGATCGATTCCACAACGTTTCTTTCACAATGCAATCGCATGACCATAACTGGTCTTTACCTTTAACAACATGACAAATATTGTATTTCTCTCCCTCTATAAAGTATATCTAGCAAAATCACAAACTATGCCTCTTTTTCATCCAATATAAAATTGTCTAACATCTACCGGTATGTCAACAGGGAAATTGAACCTGTTATTAGTAGGGAGCTCGAGTACCGGTAGTGAAAAATGCTGCATAAGATAATTGTATGTACTCCTAGCAGTCATATACTGTTAAAAGAAAGGTTTTTAGCAATTATCAATCTTTTATCAATTTACAATATACACAAAAATTAATTCTACCTTATCATTGGTAAAACAATTTCTTGTACTGTTGTACAAAGAAAAAAAAAATAGCTTAATATAGATAATCATACTATCAAAGGTATCAATAGTTTTTTAATACACTTTATTTTAAATTCAGTCTACATACCGGTAGACTGTTCAAAGAACAATATATTATAAAAAGGAACAATAACACTCTGACCAAATAATCGTCTAATTAAGGATTAAAATCATGGATGTAGACTACACATATTTTCAGTTTCACAGCGTTGGATATTGTTCATTCATTATCAGGTAATGAGGAGATCCTTATACAGTGGAAACTCGTTATAACGAGGTCCTTGGGAGTTGGGACCAAGGAAATTACCATGTTATATCAGGGTAAAAAACCAAAAGAATATAAAGAGCTGGGACCGACAAAACCAACTTGTTATATCAGAGCTCCTTATCATGAGGTACCACTGTACAGAAACTCGATTTATTTGGGTAATCAAGGCATTAGTTGATGGTTTCTTTTCTTTTGATATTGTACAACATACTTTGTTTTCGTGTATTCTTTGTAATCTACATTTTTTTATTGTTATACTCCTTTTATGTTCCTGGAAATAAAATAATTTAAAAACACAATAAATTTATCCTCACATTCACAGTTGGAAATTCAAGATGAAATAAAAAAAATTGTGCTTATCAATCTAAAAAATAAAAAGCAATGTACCTTTAATATCAGCTGCAAAGCTCAACTGGTCCTTTCTCTTTAGAAAGTCTTTCATGTTCTGAGAGTAGAGCACTTTCTGTTGTCTGAGCGACGTGCCCATTGGCACACCTGCGTACATGGGTATCTCCTCCTGTTCGTTCCCACCTTTTCTAAGGTCTGTTTTGACTGCTGACCCAAGACTATTGCTCCTTTTAAGTCTCCTGGTTGAGCCTCCATGCTGGCTCCTTCTTACACCTAACTCTGCTCCATGTTCTCTTGACTCGGATGAGCTTCGCAGGACTCGTTGCCTAGGCGATAGGTCTACATCTTCATTAGATGTAGATATTGCTCCAGGTTTCAATCCTCTGCCAAACCCAAGGTCTCCTTCCTCCATGGTTGTTTTTTCAATGTCGCTAGAGCATCCTTTGCAAAAACTAGCATTCAGTTAAGGGACGGCTCTTACTCAGCACTACCAGTATGTCAATTCCTCTTCTGAAAATGTACACAACTCCACAGCAGTTCCAACTTTCAAAGTGTCCAAATTGGTCCTGTGATCCTGAAGTTACGATCCCAACATCAAACTGCATTTTATAAAAAAAAAAAGAACATTACTTTAGAAAAGTCATTGATAATTAAGTTCAACAACTAAATTATTCATACCCCTTGAAATTTGATGTTTTTTTTTTATTTCTTTACTCACGAATGAAAAGAGGACTGGTCCAATTAGGGCTTTTATTTAACACTTTTAGATGAAAGCTTTAATCTGTTTATGAGTCACATTCTCAATAAACATAATAATGAATAAAGACAAATACATTTTTTGCATACTTAAAAGCTTGGTAAAGGTACAAATAATTTAGTTGTTCACCGTACTACAACACCTTTGAACAGCAGGTTGTTTTAGATAGAGAGGTCCAGACAGCATACATGCATGATGCAGTACAACTCTAGACCGAAAATTTCTGTTATTGCATGGGCTTCCCAGCTCAGCACGCTCCCAGTCACAGGCCAGGCCAGGTTTGCTCAACAAATGTGAAGTGACACTGACAGCTCAGATTCATTCATATTCTAAAATGACTTGAAGTTAAAAGTTGAATCTGGATTCTGGACTACACAAATCACAATCCCCATCTAGCATCTCATGGTCCCACAAATTAAGTCAATAAACTATTAAAATGGAAAGACAGTATTGAGATTAGAGTCTAAACCGGTACCATGAAAAGTGGTAATGAGCACTAGGAACACTCAATGCCAAGGTCTACCGTAGCTGTAAGCATATGGATATACGATCCCCGTCTGTTCGTGTGCTGTTGCCGCCGCGCCCCCATCCCACTCCGTATACAGTGTCCCCCCTACTCACCCTGCCTGCTCCGACCAACGAACTCAAACCTTCGATGGCTCCGACCTGTGATGAACGAAGACTCGGAGCTAGAGATGCGAGAGCAACCTAGCCGTATTTACGTATACTGAAAACAACAAGAACCCGGAAGTGTTAGGTTTTGTAATAAATTCATTTTCAAACACTTATTTATGGCTATTAAATACTATTTTATTATTAAAAATAATATTTAAAGAACTGAAATTATTTTAAAATATATAATTATTAATTTTTAAAAGTTTTTTTTATAAATCGAATTCACAAATAGGTTACATTTTATGATTGGCAACTAGAGTCTACCCTAAAAAGAAGAAGCTAGCTACACTCAATCTATGACGTGACTCACCATATCAATGCAGTGGGTGCAGTGAAATGACGTGTCGCCAGTACAAATACAATATAATGTGTTCATTTTTCTACCGTTGCTGCTTCATGTAAATCAGTACCTCCATCTGACTTGAAAGACCAAGAATAAATAGAAGCAATTTCCGGGTGCAGATGATCTAGATTTGCAAGAAAAAGGCTGAGGTGAGCGTTGTTTCCAGAACTGGAGTCCGCTGACGACTCTAACTTACTCTAACTTCTCAGAGAAGAGAGAGCAGTCGACAGTCTGCTGGCAGGGCAGTGTCGATGAAGTGAGTCTGACTCTGTCTGTGTGTGTATACCTGGTATACTGTGCAGCTGTGATGTGACAGATTGAAATGAAATGTTAGAAGTCTACTCTGACTTGAGTCTGACTCAGAGTCTGAGTGAATGAGTCTGGTCTGACTGGGCCTGGGGTCTGACGCACATGTCCGAGTCCGAGACTGAGTGTAAATTGTCTGCGTTGACTCATGCAGTCAACTGATTTCTGATTCTGAATCTGAAAATAATACGGCTCAACATTCCTGGTGAGGCTGAGCTCTGAGAGTGGTGGAGTAAAATGAGTAGGACTGAAGAGTGAAGTGCCTTCAAGTGTAGACAGAACCAACCGTCTGATATGGGTCATTTCTTTAATAAAAATGACATAGATCTAGAGCTAGATCTATGTTGACATTCCCCATAAACATAGAGGCGGTGGCGCTAGTGTAGTTACGTATCCATTTTTTTTTAGCAGTTTAATATCCATTCTTAGCAAAGGAAATTTAGCCCAATTTTTGACTAATTTTAATCATTATCATATATTGCATTTTCCACCTGAATTTGGATCACATTCGACATCGGGAAACCTTCGTTTAGGGCTTCGATGTCGACGTCGTCGCTCAGTACTGTCTCTACACTGCAGTCCTGTTCCTCAAACTGAAGCTATCAGTACACAATTATGCAGAATTCTCGTATGGTTTATGGTATCGCGCATACGAGAAGTCTGCATAATTTTGGACTGATAGCTTCAGTTTGAGATGCAGGACTACAGCGTAGTCGTAGACGGTACTAAGCGACGACGTTGACATCGAAGCCTTAAACGAATGTTTCCCGATGTCGAATGTGATCCAAATTCAGGTGGAAAATGCAATATATGTTATGATTAAAATTAGTCAAAAATTGGGCTAAAATTTCTTTGCTAAGAATGGATTTTTAAACTGCTAAAAAAAATGGATACGGAACTACACTAGCGCCGAGGCGGTCAGAGGAAGATGCAATCTCAGCGGAACAACCGTCGATATCAGAGACTGAAGTTTTCGGTCTACTTGAAGTGGGTCTGTGGGAAATCAAAATCTCAGCTAACATGAACTAATTTAATTGGAATTCTTGTGAAATAAGCTCCTGCTTATTCACTTTTCTGTTCTATCTATTGAGTAATTGAGTATTAAAGTTAAGATAAATCTGATGGATCATGATGACTGTTTCTTAGCTGATACTAGAGTGATGATTATAGATTTTGTGAAGTTGTCAATTTGTCATGGTTTTGTGTTTGTCGGCTTCATGACATATCCATTGATCGCGGACAAATGTAACTCTCATGGAGTTGGTTTTGTCAATTTTGTGAAACAACCCCTGGATTATAAACACGATAGTTCCATAACACGAGTGCACATTTTTCTCTTTACAGGTTTACATAAACAAGAGGCGACATCTAGAAGGAACGGCAGCATCAGAGGCCATCTTTTCCTCTCATGAGCAGAGCGTGATCCTTACTCTTTCGGCCGTTGGATAGATGATTTAAACAAGAAGGAACTATCTTCTAACATTCAGAGGTCCCAGTCCCGTTTCACTCATACCAAAGTTCCCAACTCCCATCATCACCATGAAGTTATTCAGTATCATGGTACTCTATAAAGGTGCCACGAAAGTGACCATACTGAAGTCAGCAAGCGATTTGTCTTCTTTCGGTTACTTCCAGAGATCAAGGTATTTATTCATCATGCAATGTGTGTGTTTATTGTTGGTGTTGATGATGTTTAACTTACTATGGAAACAAAGGTTGTAGCACATTAATGGATTTTAAAGGAATATTTAAATCTTTGTTGTATTATTCATTATTGTTTATGTATTAATTACACAATAAAAGTTTATCAATGTAATATACAAGTAATAGATATATTGTATTATAAATGGATTTTGTATACAGTTTGTATATGTGATATCCCTGTAGATGAATTTGATTATGAATGGTAACTGAAATCTAGATGGCATTGGCAAGTTGCTTTGTATGTCAGAAGAAAAACAAAATCTTTGGAATGTTGTCAGCCTTGAAACACAAGATGAGTGATCAAAAACACTTGGTATTCACTTCCAGTAATTCACGTTTCTTCCCTACTTAACCCCACCCCTCCCCATTCTTGTGTTTCAGTGTTCAGGAATTTATGAACTTCACAAGCAAAATTGTTGTAGAAAGAACACAACAGAAATTGCGGTCGTCTGTAAAAGAAAAAGGTATGTATGACTGATACAGCTGTAATTTGTAGCGTGTATAGTACTATTACTAAGATCCTAAAACGTATCGTATTTGATAGTTTGAACATGCAAAGAAGCTGCTGTTTCACAACAGAAAGAACCCATATATGCAACTTGCTTGTGATGTCGACACAAGATGAAGTCGGGAATACTGTACATATTACTGTTACATCATGTTTTTCAGTGGTTATAAATTGTAAATTTTAAAGTGCATTGAGAGGGCTTATGGTCTTGAAGTACACTATAGAAAAACATATACTATTATCATTACTGTTGGCCTGGTTAGGTCTCATATGTGTGAGAAAGGGCTTATATTGATGAGGGTTCATTAAACCCACCCCCCCCCCTCTCTCTCTCTCTCCTGTTTTTCAATAAATGTATTATTCATGTGCAATTCAGTAACTTGTAACTGCGATACATAGAAATGAATCAATAAGTATCATTTATCTTTCTATCTATTGAACCAAGTTTGTTTTTGTTGTTTCTTTGACAGATTACATTTTCCATGTCATGTGTAGAGAGAGCAACCTGGCAGGAGTGATCATCTCAGATTCAGATTATCCACCACGCGTCTCATTCACACTGTTGAATAAGGTGAGGGTGACTGACACATAGGATATGTTTGGCACTTTATTTGTAACAAGGTTCTGGGGCCAACCATAGGTTGTATCCAAACTGTTAAAGGTACAATGTCCCTTTTGCAGCCAACATCAAATTATGTAGAACTTTTCAGGAATTATGAATATGCCATGTATGTCCTATCTATGAAATTTAAACGTTAGCAGTGTCCTAATATTCAAATTATGCAAGGAAACCTGTTTACTAGCTAGACTTCACAGTCAGACACTATTGAGTTACTGATTGGCTTTTTTTCTTCTTTGGTAATAACATACATAACATGAGCTGTAAAGGGTACATGAGGATTTGTCTACATCAATAACCCACTTCTTGTAATGGCAAAAATGAAACTGATTGAATATTTGCCCAGCATTCGGTACAATTGTCTGAAAATCAGACTATTACTTACTGGCTCTACAGCTCTTAAGTCAATTCGACAACTAATGGTCGTTATTAACCCACTTAAATACATTTTCAAGCCCCCCCCCCCCTTTTTTTTTTAGGGAAGTTCTAAATTAGTATTATCTTTCAAATGCCGTTGGAATTTAACCTTTTCATTTTTTGGCTTGCAAATGGGACATAGGTTGAAAACAGGATACATTCCATTTTATACTCCACATATGACGGTTTTAGGTTAATGATTGATCGAAAGCCTGGGCATAAAATTTCCCAAGGACTGAATCCTGGGCTGTAAATCATTACAACTTGAGCTCCTCTGTGATCTCCAGACTGCACCCTACCCTTTAAATCTTCTCAAGTTCCTCAAGACAGTTTCAAGATCATTTTGTGCAATAGTTTTAGCCATGCCCAACAATGTAGTCAATATTTGTTTACCAATATCCCTGGGAGAATGAATTACTTCATTGAATATGGGACACAGAGTTGTGGCACTCCATGGTCGCCAACGTCTCAGGATATGGCACGTAGAGAGAGAGAATAACCCTGTGTCAACGATTTTGAGGGCTTGCATTTTGTGAGCAGCTTTACAAACTCACATGCACATATCGTCCCTATTTTCACGAAGTGACAGTAGTGAATGAAAATCGCATACAACTTGCGTGCAGATTTTCCTCACTACCATCACTTCGTGAAAATAGGAACAATATTAAAGAATAAAAAACAATAATCTATTTCATTATTTTTATTTTGCAGGTACTAGAGGAGTTTTCAAATGCTGTGTCACCATCAACTTGGCCGACACTCTCAGAAAATTCTGCAGGTTATCAAGGACTTGAACCATATCTAGTAAAATATCAGGTATGGAAATATTTATATCTTGCTACATTCAAACTGTAGGCACAATGGTGTTCTGACATATGCTCGGGGGACAGTAGACCGGTTTACTAACCTATTTAAATTGTATGCATACTGTTTAAATAAAGGTCATTCTTGACAACCTGAAAGCTTGCCCGGTGCTTGCCCAACATAGCGACAAATAATGTATGCAGACTGGATTCCAGGTATTGTGGTGAAAACAGGTTAAAGCCCCTCTAAAGTGAAGGAGCCCGAAGTATGCCAAATATTTGATGGCTAAAACAATGGTAAAGTTCTTTTCTTTTAAATATGTGTTTGTACTCTAATGGATTTCATTGAATTATTAATGAGTTTTATGATTTGCTATTAACATATTTATTTCATGACTCTAAATTGTAAGTTCTGCTGTAATTCAGCTGTGAAAGTGATTTTAGTACAATTAAATACCTTTTCACTTGCAATTGCAGTTTCCAAACTCTTTTGTTTTTATCTTTCAAACAGAATCCATCAGAATCAGATCCAATGATGAGGATTCAAAAGGACCTTGATGAAACCAAATTTATAATGGTAAGGCTTATCTTTCATTTTTTTTAAAAGTTAATTAATTAAGAACAACAATAAGAATAATAATAATAATAATATTGGATTCTTATATAGCGCACGTATCGACCTTGCAAGGTCCTCAAGGCGCTCCAACATTACCCAGCTATGCTAGGCTGCTGATTTCGACGCTCACAGCATTAAAGGAATTCCTTCCTACTGGTACCAATTTAACACCTGGGTGGAGAGTGGCAAGTGTAGATTAATGTCTTGCCAAGGGACATTAGTGCCGCAGCGGGACTCGAACCCCGAACCCTGTAAATCACAGTCCGAAGACTTATCCACTACGCCACAACACCTCTACACATAATAGCTATGAGTGGATATGTCACCGGACTGTGAATCACAAATATGTCTTGTGGCAATACATTAATCTACATTTGCCACATTCCACCCAAGTGAGGTAAATGGGTACCTGGTAGGATTATTCCTTGAAATGCACTGTGGGCTGTTAACGGCTGCTGGAGTTAATGCCAGGGTAATGATTTCCATAAGCTCTTTAGAAATGTTAGGGACGTTATAATGCGATATGTGGTATACAAGAATGGAATATTCATTTATTTATTTACATTAATCTTGCGCACATATCCATCCCAGGGGATGCCCAAGGTGCATAAGAGTACTATTATTACCCTAGCTTTAGCAGGGATGCCCGAGGTGCTGAAAGCTTTTAAGGAATAAATTTCTACCGGACGGTTACATATTTACTACACCTGGGAGGAGAGTAGCAATAGGTGTATAAATACTGACCAGCAGCACAGTCTGAAAGGGTTAGTTGACCAAGATATAGTACAATAAGTGCAAAGAAGTTTACATTAAGAGTACAAACAGAAAGTAATACACAAATAAAGGATAAACAATATGGAAAATACAAAGAATTCTACTTTACATCCATTTTTTTCAAAGAAATAAGGAGGGAGAGATAAATGTAAATAGTAAAGTAAGTGAGAAGAGGGACAGAGAAAGAAAGGGAGAGAGGGGGGGGGGGGGGGTAGGGGACAAGCTGAAACGATAACAACAATTACAGAAGTGTTCACTTTTGCCCATCTCCCAATATACAATTTTTTTAACAGCAATCGTGCATTGTAATAAATAATACAATACAATTCTAGAGACCAAATTTAGGATACTGGTAAAGTGATAAATGACTTTGTAAATATGTTATTATCTTGTAAAGTAACCATCTCAGTTTATACACCAATTTTTTTTTTAAATTCACATTTGATATTTATGCGGCCCTGACAACATAACTGTTTGTTATTGAGCAATTATTGTACTCTGTTTTTTGTTGTCTTACCAGCACGATACGATAGAATCGATGTTAAACCGAGGAGAGAAGCTAGATGATCTTGTAGCAAAGTCAGATGACCTGAGCGCCCAATCAAAAACATTCTACAAGACAGTAAGTACCCATAGAGTAGGCCTACTCAAAAATCACTAGTCATCTTTCATTTGTAATATTTATGATTTAGCACAATATGAATGTATTGCTTGTATCACAAGCTGTATATGCTTTGTGGGTTTTGAAATTGAATGAAGGATAAAGAAGAGTCACATTTTTATATTTTCAGAACCACTATTGTCGGCTAGTAAAATGATAAAATAATAAAAAGGGATTTAGGGTATTCTGTAAAATTACTCCTGTCCTTCCTAGAAAAGAAAAAAAATTAAATGTGTACTGGTGTATTAAAGGTAAAGACCAGTTATGGTCATGCGATTGCATTGTGAAAGAAACGTTGTGGAATCGATCAGAAAAAGGTTGATCATCTAGCATCTAGCATCTGCAAGGTTCTGGAATCATCAAAATGATAAGAAATTTGGCCCATTCTTCGTAAAGTTACAAGCACTATACACAGAAATATGTATATGGGACTACCCTATATCTCGCACAGACCATGAGAGAAACAAATTTACCAAATGTATGAATTAGTAGGCGGTTTCCCGGCAATTTTTTTTATCATCATGTATTAGTCAAAACATATTCTTTCACATGATTGGTAATGAGAGCTTCCATTTCATTTTTTGAAATTGGGGCGTTTCCAATACTGGTCTATACCTTTAAAACAAAAAGGAATTTTTTTCAAGGATTCAAGACTTGTTGTATATGGCATTGTTCATATAGTTCAGTGAGTTGAGTGCTTTCTTCATTTCAATCAGGACCCGACTGAGATATAATACGTATACTGGAATTTAAAACTTTCTTGTCTAACTTGTTTTTGAAAAAGGATGTGTGATATTTTAATACTGGAAGTATGCAAGATATGAATAGCTCTATTTGAAAATCTGTGAAAAGGCATATGGGAAAGTTAAACAGAATTCTTTACTTTTTGTTAGGTGTTTATTTATATTACTTATTTTTTTCTTCTTTTCCCTTGTCCATGTTGTAAACAATTATAGAATATATGGCATGCATATATCTCTGATAAGACCATCCGGATGGTTTACTATATAACCTTTTAAGTAAACAGTTAATACCCCAATTAAAATGTTCAGTACTATCATCGATACTACATGAGAAAGGCAAGTGCCAACATCATTTTTCTCCTTTTCTTTTTCACAGGCACGGAAAACAAACTCCTGCTGTGTTTTACAGTAAAGAATACATCTCTGTCATCTGCACCTTGTAAGCACTCATCGTAATGGATTTTGGACTTATTCAGCCATGTAGTAACAAGCATGACTTGTATCCCAATCATTGGGGTGTAAATGTGACGGCAGAAATTATGAATGGACAGCAAAATGAAACTGTTGATGATGATGATCTCGAGGCGGAGCGCCTGATGAGAGAATCGGATGATAGTAATGAAAATGCATTCTTACCTGACTTTTGAGAAAGCAAGTATATGCTTTTACAGTGTAGATAACCAGCCAGTGGACCTACAGCTTTAACGTCCCATCTGAGGGACTTGTGAGACTAGGATTAATGTCCTACCAAATGGCAGCAGTAGCACATCGACCCTCGACCTCCCGGTATGAACACCACTGCTCAAGCACCGAGGTTTAACACCTCTTTCAAAAATCTTGTAAAATGAAGAATACCTTGTAAGCAACGGGAGGAACATTGTTTTCCTCTGGCCAGGATGTACACTATGGAATTTGAGACTGTGCTCACACATGAATGGTCATCATAATTCTAATCCTGTTTGCTGTCCATACGGGGTGGGCTATCTGTGTGATATAGCTTTGCTATCCAAAATGGAGTCATATTATTGTTATCTTTATTATCTCTCTCACATGGTGCACCCACAAGCCTACTGTATATCTTTATTATTGTTGCAAATTCATGCATGAATGTGGAGAAAATTTACCATTGCTGTGGATATCAGTGTTTGTAATGCAATTAATGATAACTCCTGGAATAGGCTATGTGAAGTAAATTTCATGTGTTAATGCAATGAGAATGTGTTGGACCTTGAGAAAAGGGTTTTATCACAGTGGTTCACTTTTTATTGTGTCAGGGAACATTAAACCATCAGAGCCAGAAAGGCATTCCTCTTTTTATTGTAAAGTTATGAAGTTAATACTCATCTTTCTCTCGGCAAGCGATGTGTTAGGAAGCGATGGCCAGCGGTCGGATTGTTTATTTTGTCTGTTTGGAGTCAGAATGGCGTTAACCCTTTATGAAATGAGGAGTTAATGCCTTTCTGGCTCCAAAGTAACAGACATATTGATAACAGTATGGGGCTATTGAAGGGCTGCAGCATACAGCTTTGCATTGATATAATTTCAGAATGTCAATCATGAAAGGGAAATAAGAATTGAAATAGGCAAATGTAAGGTTTTCATGATTGCATAAGGGCCCCATATAAATTATGTGATATCAACCGGAAAGTTGCAATTTTTCGTTTAGAGTTGTGATTAATATCAAACTAAAGTTGAGTAGCGATGTATTAGGATTAATGACCATGTCCAAAGCAATACACTATGATGTTGAATGTCCAATTTGCTGAAGATCTAGGCATCATATCACGAAACCGTTGTAAGTACAAGTTCACCGACATCCCACTTGTACTTAAGATGGTTTCGTGAAACCTGCCCTGGGTTACTATTATGAAGCTGATATCACTTTGTGTGACCTGAAATGCCTCATTCATTGTGTAGGTTACATGTATCTGATAGTATTCGGATTTGTTGCAACCGTACAAGATAATAAAATACAGCAGCTTGATGCTAAATTAGGTATGTGGCTAATGGCTAGTTAGAATCATTATCACCATAACAGTTGTTATAATCTTGAATTTACACTGTTGGTACACTAAGTTTGTATGATGTTTTACAGCTATGAGCTATCACAGGTGTTCGGGTACCGGTACTTGGTTTACACAGTTTTGTATACCTGTAGTTTCATAGCAGTTCAGTGTTAAATCATTTTTTATCTCTGTTATATGAAAATGGTAGATTGTGTTATGCTCCTCCTTTTACCGATTATATTCTTTGCATTAAGAAAATTGGAATTCCCTATGTAGGATTAAAACTTATTTTGAAGAGTAAAGTTCTTCTGCAGTGAAAAGTTTGACCTAACATGTCTACTTGTCAGACAGAAACATACTCAGAATTCAGACAGATATTTAGAGTTTAAAGTTTACCAATCACCTAAAAAATATAATTTGTGTTCAAGTAGAATGTATGAAATCAACCCCAAAAAACATTGCCTGGCATTAGACGTATAAGGAGTTACAAGAACATAAAGAGTAACATAAATCCCTGCGTATAGGTCTTGCACAGAACCCAAGTCAGACTTCAGTTATGGGCGGCCCCCTATCCTATGCGAGTGCGTACATGTGCATTAACTAGTTTAATCAACAAGACATTTAGAGTGTATTTAAACTGCAATATCTTTTTATAGAAGTAATATTTGAAGCTTATATTTTGAATACAATATGGAACTCCTAACATCAAGATCATAATATATTTGGAGATAGCTACACTTCAAAATGAATAAGAACATCTAACTGTACCCAGTACCTTCGATCTTTTGTGGATGTACTTTAAATCACAAATTTGATTCCCCTTCATCATTTTGTTTATACATGTACTTGTAAGAAAATAAATATATGTACAGTATAAAAGAAAGTTGTACAAATATATATTGCTTATGCTTCATCACCCATCTATTTTCATTTGATATTTAATGTATTTTTGTATATTTACTCCTCTTTCTATGTTTTTTTTTTTTAATTGGGAACTTATCATTTACTTGAAACATCCTTCAATTTTGAAAGAGAAATGGTATTTTTCACTCACCACCCTTTGATGCTCATACTCCTTTTCATTCCATGTAAATATGGCATGTGATGAATTTGTTTTGTTTTCAATAGAGAAAAAAATGGTCCAGTCTACTAAAACGTTCACAAATTCTTCTGCATTAGAACTTGCCGTTGATATCCTTGCTTGTGAAATGCTTGCCTGACATTGCATCAAAATGTGCATGCAAGCTAAATTCCATTTACACAGGTGCTCTCACATAAAACTGGGGTTCTAGTAAATATGATCCATTTAATCAAACCATTTGAGGATTATGTTAATTCATATTAGTATTTTGTTCATTGCTGATGAAAAAGGAACTTGATGTTTTTCCATATGGCACGCCATGTTCACATTTCATTGTGTAGCACAGCAAATTGGAACACATTCAAAGGTATTTATCTCATAAATTTGGAATTAAGGAGCACATTCTAGACTTTGAAATAATTGAAAGAAGAGATGCACAAATTGGAGGAAAATTCATCTATTACTTTTGTAAACATAGATTTATCTTTGCTATGTCTTAACATTTTAATCTGTAACAAATCCTACATTGATGTAGAATGGAATTCTTTTCTGGTGCTTTCATGTCTTCCCCCAAACAGCATGAATAACATGTACAGGTAGACTGAAATTATCCCCTAATTAGAGCTCAACGGAACAGTGGAATCCTATTTTTTGGGATTCTGTCAATCTCTTGAAGGAGAAACACACTTCCTGTACTGTCCTTTGTATTTGTATGCTTGCTTGCTTCAACCAGACATGTATGTGGGCAGTGCAGTTATGGTGATCTGACGTTTGCTCTGGGCTTTATTTCATAAGAAGTATAGGGTTAGGGTTGCAACAGGGTTTTATATTAGGTTTAGGGTTGGGATCGGTATAGGGTTAGGGTAAGCTGTAGCACTGGGTCAAGGGTTGAAGTAAAGACTTCATTTAGTGTAGCAAGGTACTGAAGGGCAGTTGCTGCTGGAGCATATGTCGTATAACCACCCTTTTATTGTTCTATGGAATATTCTGTGCTCTTTTATTATCTACATGTATTGATTAAACATGAGCAAGGAATAATGAGTCAATGATTTTAAGATGAAAGCAATTGTCAAATGAACCAATCTGTGAAGTCTGAATAAATATATGTCAATATATGAAATTGTATCACGAGTCCCAGTGTGCCATTTTATTTTCAATGTTTGTTGTTGATGAATTCATTCAAGCACTCACTTCCTGGATATTAACATATAATGAATAAATTCTGCATTTATTTCTTTAAGATCAATGATAAATTGGGCTATGGCTGCTAAATCATTCCAGTATTTGATGTGTAGGTGAAGTGCATACTGAGACGCATGAAGTACTCCATAACTAAACTTTTCATCTTAACATTATGGGGAATAAAAATTAGACCACAAATCACAGACTTAAGATGAGGCAATGACTTACATTGTACTGGAAAATTTATTTACATTTGTACAAAATCTATACAGATCACAGTCTAGTGCATTAAAACATATTTACCCATAATTGGAGCAGTCCTACAGCATATGAGATATGAGAAAAAAAAGTGATGTTAAAGATTCACTTGTTTTCAGAAGCTTTTGAATATTTTTTGGGTTGTGTGTCTGTAAAGTAGCACTGTGAGTATTGTTTTTCATCACAGTGCAGTAGAGTATATTTATATATTGGTCCGGTTATTATTATTAATATCCCACAAGATTAGAAATTTAGTCACATTTAGGGCACTTTTAGGACACTGCACTCAGAAAGTGATTAACGAGTTTTAATAAGTGCTGCCTCCATACTAGACCTATTAATAGCCATAAGTTTAAGTTGTGTAATGTTTCACATATTTAATGTTCATAAAGTGATTATTTACTCACTATTTCACACATTCCTCTCAAATAAATTTCATAATTGGCAATTAAAAGCATGGATGCCAAATTTCAGAGGAGTACCTTTCAAAATTAAGGGCATCTGCCATCTTAATTCAGCTGATTGTTGACAAACTGAATTTATGTCTCATCACAAATATATGACATTGAATACTTTCTTTGTCATTACCTTTTTATGTTTGGTCCTTACATGAAACAACAAGTTATTTATACATGCATCAACAGATTATGGAACTGTACACAGACAAATAAACTTATTCATTTACACATAATTAAGTTTAGACACAGAAATCATCATACCATTTTTGAATTTACTAAAGATGCAGATAAAATATGAAATAAAGCCATTATCTCTGGATAAAGCCAATGGTAATTGAGTCGAAGATACTTGGAAGTGGGCTCTGATAGAGAATTTGACACCATTCACAGGTGTTGTCCATCACAAGGATTAGCCGGGATTACCATGATTTATGACCAACAGGGTAACAGGCCTTAGCCAAGCTCTGCATATTATACCCGTTCCCCTATATGGTAAAGTCATTATCTTACATTTTCCTCACCCAAAGTCTCTCTGAAAGAATAGGGGGTCTTTCTTGGGAGATGGGACAATGGGTATGCTGTGTGCAGACTTGGACACCCATAAGTGGTATCCACACTGAGTAAACTTTCTTGTTTGCAGCTATTACTTCTTACCCTCTCTTGCAATCATTTACATACTGGTATATCATAGATATTCAGAATAATTTCTTTACAAATTATTCGATAACTATGTTGTGAAGAAGAACATTTTAGACATTAAAGAATAAAAAAATTAAAAAAATCAGTCTGCAAAAGCACTTTGCTCCATGCTGGCTATTTGCAGGTCCTGGATTGAAAATTGTAGGATCTGTGTGCATGGGGGCCCCTGTTAACCCATTGCTTACTGGAACCTGGGGGTCCCTGTGTTAAGCCTATGGGAATTAGATAATGCAGTAGCCAACGGGTTAATAACAAATTTTGGGAGGTTCAGAGTTGAAATTTTGGGGCCCACGTACACCACCTCCCTGTTAAAAATGCTGAGGCCTAGGCTACAGATAACATGGTATAGAATTGAAGTTTATCTGTTATTCTAAGGTTGCTAGAAGCGTTTAGAAGATTAGATGCCATCTCAACTCTTTGGTTTGGTCTCTTGGTCTGATACTTTCCTGATGAAGACTGCGTCCTCTGGGTGCTCTATATCTCCCTCCTCGTATGTGTAAGACGATGCAATGGCAAGGATGGAGCCATCATTACTGTAGAAACAAGGATCAAAGTTTTGATTAAAAGTTTTAATACCACATTTTCATTTATAAACTAGATGGAATTCGACTGCGCGCAGTCGAAAATGATGCCTCCGTCATAGAGCAATTTTACAAACCGAAACGGAAGAAATTTTTCAAATTCAAGTTCAATTGTAATCCATTAACATGTTCTCAGAATATCGTGATTACAAGCAATTTCTCATAAACATATATGACCCTTTGATCTTTGACCTCATGACCCTAAAATCTACTCAGTTCATTGGCTCTGCAAGATTTCCTGAGTTAAATAGTAATCCATCTGTCAGTTCTAATGAGAATGCGTCCACAAGCTATTTTTGCATACATAATGAGCCCATGACCTTTGATCTTATGAACCATTCATTGGCTCTGCAAGATACATAAATGATCTAAGTTTGGCAGGAATCCATCAATCTGTTCTAATGATAATACGATCACAAGCTATTTTTGCATACATAATGAGCCGCATGACCTTGACCTTTACCTCATGACCCCAAAATCTAATCAGTTCATCAGCTCTGCAAGTAACATACATGACCAAAGTTTGGCAGGAATCCATCAATCGGTTGTTCAGATAACGCGATCACGAGCTGTTTTTGCATACATAATGTGCGCTGTGACCTTTGACCTCGTGACCCCAAAATCTAATCAGTTCATTGGCTTTGCAAGATACATACATGACCAAAGTTTGGCAGGAATCCATCAATCGGTTCTTCAGATAACGCGATCACAAGCTGTTTTTGCATACATAATGAGCCCTGTGACCTTTGACCTTTGACCTCGTGACCCCAAAATCTACTCAGTTCATCAGCTCTGCAAGATACATACATGACCAAAGTTTGGCAGGAATCCATCAATCGGTTGTTCAGATAACGCGATCACAAGCTGTTTTTGCATACATAATGAGCCCTGTGACCTTTGACCTTTGACCTACGTGCTCCAAAATGTAATCAGATTGTTTTCCTATAGTGATACACACTATCACTAAGTTTGAAGTTTAAATCTCCAGTGGTTCTTGAGATATCATGATAACAATCTCAATGTATGGAATTTCATAAGTTGACCTCTGTGACCCTTGACCTTTGACATACGTGCTCCAAAATCTAATCAGATCGTCTTCCTATGGTGATACATACTATCCTTAAGTTTTAACTTTAAATCTCAAATGGTTCTTGAGATATCGCGCTAACAAACTCAATACAAGGAATTTCATAAGTTGACCTGTGTGACCTGTGACCTTTGACCTACGTACTCCAAAATCTAATCAGATCGTCTTCCTATGGTGATAAATACTATTCCTGAGTCTTAAGTTTAAATCTTAAATGGTTCTTGAGATATTGTGATAACGGTCAAACGGGACGGACGGACGGACGTACGGACGGACGGACGTACGGACGTACGGACGGACAACCCGAAAACATGATGCCTCCGGCACCACCTTCGGTGGCGGAGGCATAAAAAAAAAACCCACATGTATTTTCAGTCATTACACTCAATAGTAAATGTGAAGAATCATCAAAAGTGAATAATAATTTCTATAGCGCCGTCTATGTAGAAATTCTATTCTGAGGCGCACTTATTATAACCCCGGCTTAAGCCTAGCTGCCATTTACAGTGCTCTAGCATTTCAAGGAATGAATTCCTCCCAGGTACCCATTTACCTGAGTGTGGCAAATGAAGACTAATGCCTTGCCAAAGGACATTAGTGCCGTATCGGGGATCGTACCACGACCTTTGAATTTCAAGTCAAGTGCTTTGAACGACTTGACTACGACAAGATGTGTTTTAAGGAAAAAGAATTTCCTCAAGAATTGAGTGAGTGAGCTGGGTTTCTAAAAATAAGTTTAACGAATAAGTTATAATAACAAAAGGCTCAGTAGTTTCATTCTAAGAGCAAAAAGGAGATTTTTACAAACCTGAATGCCAAAGAGCTGATACTCGTAGGATAGCAATGGAACTGACACAAGCGCTTCTTATTGAAACCATCCCATATGTTGACGAACCCATCACAGCCTCCTGAAGCGAATGTGTTGTGTCGATTGTGGAAGGCGATGGCATTGACTGGATAAATCTGCTCCACTCCGTCATTCTAGGTAAGTATGCGATGGAAGGAAAGGGGGGGGGGGGGGGAGGAGATGAAAACATGAAAGTTAAAAATGGCAACTATGTTTTTTTAGGTTCAAGTGTGAACAATAGTTGTGATCGTTTGAAAGTCTGATGATGTACAAACAAGGCACGGTCTAATTGTGGCAATATCACTGTACTGGATCCTCTGGCACACAACTCCAAGATCAAACACATTCTTAATACCCAATCCTGGGCCTGTTGCACATAACTTACCATTGATGGTAACTTTACCATCAGTAGTAACTACCATGGAAACCTTGATTTTGATTGGCTGTTTAGCCATGTTACCATGGTAGTTGCCATTGATGGCAAAGTTAGCATCAATGGTAAATTTTATGCAACAGGCCCTGGTGGGTTGGAAGTCAAGTTGCACTAAATTTTGTCATAAAGGGCACTACCATTATAACAAGGGTGTAAGGACTAACCATTTTTCTTTTTTTGTTGCTATTAACCCAAACCACATATGTCCACAACTATCCTAAATTGGACTATTGGCTTCTATTTTGTGGTGGTGACATCATTCACAAACGAGGGCTCACCTTTAACCTGTGACACTTGAAGGCGTATTTCTTCTTCTGGACCTCTGGGCTTGGGTCAAGGTATTCCACGGCCACTCGACCCTCGATGCTACTCAGCACATAGCCCTGACCATTGGGGAAGGATCTGATGCATCTGGTCTGGTACTTGAGACTGGACTCGCGCCTCTGCTGGACATAGCCCATGTTGCGGAGGTCCCAGACGAGGACCTTGCGTCCGGCGGTACCCACCACCAAGCGGTCACCTGTGACTGCCATTGTGTAGACCTGGCATTACATAAAAAAGAGAACAACAAATTATAGGGTGGTTACAATACCTTCTCTGGGGTTGAAATGGGTAGCAAGGAGGTTAATAATAATAATAATAATAAAAACGGTGCTTATAAAGCGCTTACCACCAAAGTCTGTAAGTGCTATAACTAACAAAATACAATGATAAACAATTACATATAAAACAAAACAAACAATTACAAATAAAGCTATAAATTACAATACATATGAAATATACATCAATAGAAATACATTGTCTTTGGTTGAACTCCATTTTAAATTTCATGCTTTAGCATGTGATTCATTTCTTTATTTTTACTTTTTTGGAATACTTGATAAAACTTTGAGAGTCCTTCTGCATTCCTGAATGTCACTTTCCTTTGGCTCTTAGAGACTAGTACTATGAATAGTAATATACAAACTCATTGCACACTAGAAATTAGGAAAAAATGATGCAAGACAATTCATCATAATATTGTTTATTGAAATAAAATCCAGACATGAGTGGAGTCTTATTAAAATTTTGATACAATTATTTGAGTTTGGTATAACGTGCATTTCCATAGTATCTGATCCAGCCAGAGTTAAAACTCAAGCTTAAAGATAAAGTTGAGTTATGGTCATGCGATTGCATTGTAAAAAGAACATTGTGGAATTGATCAGAAAAGGTTGATCATCTAGCATATAAGTATTGGTGTGTACTGCAAGGTTCTAGAATCATCAAATTGATAAGAAATTTGGCCCAGTCTTGGTAAAGTTACAAGCACTGTACACAATAAGATGTATATGGGACTACACAAACATGTGGCATAAAAATCTGTCCCTGATTTGTATGATGTTACATGCTATATTAAGAACATTAAGGCATTTGAAGAGCCATGCTTTTCAGGGAACATTTTTTACCTCATGTTCTTCCACACCTGCATAATAACAATGATAATGCTCACAAATTATTTTTCACCTCTTCTCAGAACTCAACCTTCTCTTTAATATTCAAGTGGATAAATAAAGAACACCGCAGGAGAGAGAACCTAGCAAAGTAGATTCTTTGGAATATGAACTAAAACTGACCTTGTCCGGTTGTGAGAATGACCCTGTTGACCTTCCTATCCTAGGATCCCATAGCTTGACCGTCTGATCCCAGCTACCTGTTACCACCACATTGACCTCTGGGCAGAACTCCACACACTTGATAGCATCCTCATGATTTCCAAGGACATTCTCTGTAAATTTGTTAAAAAGGTCAGAAAATTGATAAAGTGTATAGGTACTCTGCAAACTTGTTGCCTCTAAGAATCAATGCTATTTATTCAAACAAACAAAGAATTCACAACTGGGCAGAACTCAACATATTTTAGGATTACTAAAAAATAGAATTGATCAGGAATAGCTAGCTACCTACCTGTACTTGTGTTGATATCATACAGCTTCAGCATATTGTCTAATCCTCCGCTGTAAGTATGTGTTTGATCCTGAGAGAAAACACACAAAAATTTGATTGATTTCAGGACTAATTTAATTGTCACAATAGACATAACACACAAAGAAAATATTTGAGTAATTACTAGGGCTGGGACTCAGTAATGGGTATCCAGGTCCCGCATAAATTTTGGCGGGTACCCGAAAAAAAAGATACCCAAAGTTCCCAGCCCTAGTAATGACTGCACTTCATTTTCTAAAATCAAATATTTCATAATTACAAATTATCAAAAAGTAATTCAAAAATTCACTAAAAAAAAGAGTTACTTCTGACACAAATTGTCACAACATGTTGTAATTCATGGACAATACATGAATATCCCAGGCCTATCATAATAGTAAATTAGTAACATTAAATAGTATTAATAATGTTTCTAAGTGTTGCACTATTATAAAAGCATCAAGTACTAGAATGTGCATTACCGGTACTACATTGTATATTACAACAGACAACTGCATGCACATTACTTCACTTTTCCATTTCTACTTTGTAATTTCTCTGTCGAAACAAAAATACTTAATTAAGAAAAACAAATTCTGTAAAACGATTTCTTACACAAAAGCAGCAATCTAGCACAGGTCTGTCATGCTTGTACTTGGCCCTGAGCTGATTGGCCTGGACATCATAGAGTCTGACTGTCTCATCCCACGACGACACCAACAAGAACTGAGAGGAATTGGGTCCAAACTTGACGGCTGAGATGCCATCTTCTGGAGGTTGGTCCAGCTTGAATTCATTCACAGATTCGCCCATGATGTCACAAGTAAATAAGATAATCTAGCTGTCGATGAGGGAAAAGAAAAAAGAAGAGAACAATTTACATACTGTACACACAACACACATTATTCAACTTATTATGTAATATTAATAGCAAACATTAAAGGGAAATCCAACCTTGATAGCAGGCCACACTAGAGGAAAGCAGAAATCAGAGAAGTATAGACTGATGAAAGTCTGAATGAAATCTGACAAAAGATGAGAATGTTATGATTTTTTAAAATTTGTATTCAATAAAGGTATGGGTTCTTCAAATTGGCTTAGAAAAACTGTGACTTTTGTTTTTGTCCTCTTTGTTGATTGGACTGTGCATGTTTAAATTGTGAGTGTTACTGAATCTTAATAAATATAAAAGCCAATTATTGAATTAGATCTAAATTGACTCGATCAGTTCACTGTCTACTTTTATGGGTTGTCTGTCTTCCTGAGAATTTATCGCTCATAACGTGAAAGTCTCTGTCTGTAAAAAGTCAATGTGAAATGCATCAAGAAAATCATTGCAGAATCCGTTTTTCGCATCACCAAGACACCAACTTGCGGATTGGAAATAAGAAACGTCCATGAAAATGCGGACCATCCTTATTTTTGGAAACGTGTTTGTCCGCGTTTACAAACGATCCTCATTGTCGGACCAGCGCCTAGCTACTGCACTGTCTTTACTGATTATAATTTATATGAAAAATTATCACATTAGATTCTGTGTGCGTGCATATAATGATAGATTAGCATGTGACGTATAGTTTTCTTTTGAGCCAATCAAATTTAGCGCTAGTTTACTGTGCGTCGACCGTCTAGGACTAGGTCAAAAGAAGACGCCGCTCGGCTCTCCCATGCAAGCTAGGTGGAGCGTAGACCGAAAACTTCAGTCTCTCTAATCGTCGGTTGTTCCACTGAGACTACGTCTGGCTCCACTAGACCTCCGATTATAGAGACTGAAGATTGTCCTATCGGGACTGTACGGAACCAATGGTTCGGTTCGGCAGGACCGCGATGAATGAGATATGCTACGAGATTTTCACTCTTTACATCCTCACACATGCTGCAATATGACAATAATTAGAGTCTAATTAAAAATAACATATATATAGCTTATTTGACTTACGATAGCTTGCTCATTTAGATCCTAAATTAATGATTAATCCGAGAAAGTCTCGTCGTCAACATTATCCGTCTTGGTTTTAGTTGATGAATATTAATTTTTTCTTTTCGAACGTCCAATAGCTACCGTAGCTACATACGAGTCGGCCCGGCTTGACCAACGAACTCCCACGAAACGAGTGCTCTGATTGGCCATTGGCTATGTTTTGGTAGGTGGACCCGGAAATATATCGGCCGCCGGGTAATATTTCGAATGCATGAACGTAAGTGCTTCGCGGTTCTGAGGAACAAATTGGATAATTCATATAAGTAAGTCCGAAAATTTCACATTCTATAATAGGTTAGAAAATTTCGAAAACTGTAATTAGGAGATATATAGACCGAACTAATTCTACATCTGATTTAGACCGAAAGCTTCAGTCTCTATAATCGTCGGTTGTTCCACTAAGACTACGTCTGGCTCCACTAGACCTCCGGTTATAGAGACTGAACGACTGCCTATGCCAGCCTGTGTTGAACTTATTCCGCTAGATTTTAGCCGCTAGGCCCCTCCCACAAACTTGCCACGGCCGTATTGTTATGCCCCCAAAATCCCCCAAAATGTCATTTTACCTCGTCCATATCCAATTTTAAATTAGGCCTAGGCTATAATACATCGGTTCCACTTACTAATTTGATGTAAATAATCCGTTTAATGGTCCCTTTTAAGGAAATTATGGGTCAAAATCGACATCCATGTTGAAAATCTTGCAAGCCGTCCGTTAAACTCTCGCTGCCGTCAATCTCATCCCTTCTAGTCTACGCCGAAGGCAAAATGATAATGAAGGAAAAACTGTGCGCCATCTACACGTTCGTAATGGCGTTATCACAGTTTTTTCCTTCATAATCATTTTGCCTTCGGCGTAGACTAGAAGGGATGAGATTGACGGCAACGAGAGTTTAACACGGCTTGCAAGATTTTCAACATGGATGTCGATTTTGACCCATAATTTCCTTAAAAGGGACCATTAAACGGATTATTTACATCAAATTAGTAAGTGGAACCGATGTATTATAGCGTAGGCCTAATTTAAAATTGGATATGGACGAGGTAAAATGACATTTTGGGGGATTTTGGGGGCATAACAATACGGCCGTGGCAAGTTTGTGGGAGGGGCCTAGCGGCTAAAATCTAGCGGAATAAGTTCAACACAGGCTGGCATAGGCAGTCGTTCTGTCTCTATAACCGGAGGTCTAGTGGAGCCAGACGTAGTCTCAGTGGAACAACCGACGGTATAGAGACTGAAGCTTTCGGTCTACATCTGATTTAGAAATCAGGAAATTAGATCTAAATAAAGAAAATCGGGGGAGAAATGTCGGTAACGAAAAGCTGTTACGCTGTGGCTCTAATTCACCCCCACGGTACGAGATCTCTGGGTTGCCATCTGTATTGGGGAATGACAACAAATGTCAGTTTTATTAAAGAAATGACCCAAATCAGATGGTTATTGCTGTCTAGGTGGAGCGCCGCCGCGCGCTCAGCCTCCCGATCCCGGTGTGCTACTCGTGACAAGTCAGGTTAATCACTGACTTATTATCAACAATGATACAACAAAATACTCGTATTTCTAATTATTCCTTGAAAAATCAACCCTCTAAAATGTATTCATAATATAATAGGGAAAATCTAAAATACTACTTAATTTAAAAAATCAATCTATTCCGCCAAAAAAGAGAAACATACCGAGATATTTCAGCATTCGCCTTCAGCTTTCAAATTCCCTGCACAAACGGTTTATGGTATCTCTCATAGCTCAAGTCCAGAAGAAAATTATGATGAAATCTTCTTTTCTTCTTCTTCTTCTTCGTCGTACCTGTTCCTTTTCAGTTCTGAGTTACAGTGAAAAAAGGCTGCAAAAACACTCGTTATTCTTGATTAGTATATATTCCAGCATCTGGTGTATTTTCGCACTGGTATGGTATGGTGTGTGTACAGTGCTATTATATAGACCCTATGTGGATCGAGCTATTACAAAACAAAAACAAAAACCCTAAGCTTCTCAGTACACCGCATGCATGAGAATCACAATAAAGAACAAATCCGAAGGGATCACGGTATTTACAGTTACCAACTCAATTATTCATGCCCTTACCAAGTTTTGTAATTTATAAAGTATGTTACAAGTCTTTAATATTATTTAAAAGAAAATTGAAGCAACATATGATATAAAATATCAGTGATTCTTCATTTCTTGTACCATATTATACAGCACTGCTGTTTTCAAGCTTATGATTTTTTAATGATTATTTCCATTTATATTACCTGCCATTATGAAAGATGTCCCTGTCATGTTTTGTCAAGTATGTTTCTTTTTTAGTTTTGTTTATATATGTAAATCTCTTAAAGGTAATACAAAGTTTTGGAAAATTTTGAAAATTGGGTGAATAGTGATTCTTTACAATTTTGAAATATTTGGATGCCCCTGTGGATGTATTATAAGCGCTAGAAAATTTAGCCCCTAAAACACTTCTAATTTCGAGAAAAATTGAATATAAAAATTTACCGGTGCTCCCGGTAAATTTTAATAAATTTCAAATAGCGCCTACGGCTGTTCAATGGTAGCTACGACCATGAAAATCTCACAATATGTAGTTGTGATATATAATTTTCTAACGGGAATAGCTATTCGGTCGGTTTTAGTCAATAAACATTGTTTTATAGCTTAATTAATATCTTGGCCTTGAGAAGGAGCTACTACAACATAAAGAGTTTATTATTTACAATTTCATAACTTCAGACTCAATTTAAACCGCGACAACGATCACTGAATATTGTAGGATATGCTTCCAATATGTTCATTTGACCCAATACCAAAACGTTGTAATACCTATAACTACTGTTCGGGGCAGGCGCGTAGCCAGAGTTTGATGTTTGGGGGGGCACATACATGTAATCGATCGAGGTCAAAAAAAGAGGTCTACAAAATTTCAACCGATCCTGGAAATTTTAGGGGGGCACGTGCCCCCCCGTGCCCCCCCGTGGCTACGCGCCTGGTTCGGGGAACTATGCCCCCCCCCCCCGGCCCCCCGGCCCCCCGCAATTACCTAGGACATTTGGCCTTATTTTGTAGTTCCCTATTTTCATTTTCTCAGTATTGCAAATGCTTATCATTGTATATATCTTTGCATCGTTTTTATTGAAAATGGAAATGAATAAATTAACGAATTGAATTGAATCTAATTAAATGTTAAAATTTGATTTGTCCGGAAACTACCGATTAATATTTATTGAGACTGTCATTGACATAAGCTCTAATATAATAGAGCTTCATATGCATCCGATCCTAGCTAGTTCAAGTATTCAACCGAGTCTATGTTTCATTTTTTAGTTACGAAAATCACAAAAACATCAGTTTCCCAAGGATCCTACGATAGTACGAATAATATCGAGTTGTTAAAATGTATGTAGGATGCAAGTGAATTAAGATTAAAATGTAAACTAAGCGTCTGAGAAGACCAATCGTGTAGCGCCTCATATCGTCTTTTTGTTGCTCGGAAGCCCAATCTCAACCATTTATCTGTAAATCCTAAACCCCCAAATGTAAGTATTAAATAATATTTGCACTACTAACATGAGGTTATAGATCAGAGCAAGAGTAATTACGAGATTGATAGATTCGTTGCATAAAGGCATTATCCATCGACCTTGCATATCCTACGATTAAAAAAGATTTCGCACGCGGGCCGCGAGCGAATTTACATTGCCTTCCTACGATATAAATATTCGCATTGATATTCGCGTCAGCCATGATAGCCAAAGACCATTTGTGTAAGGACAATGTACTCTGAATTATTTTCGTAGTACGCATGGCATGCGAAGATTTCCTGTATCAAGTGTCAACGGACTCGAACATTTACGTTTGCCTCTATTATGTGAAAGCATACTCTCCTTTTTCTTGATATTTTATATCTTAATTATGTCTGAAATTTGTTGTTGTATCCCCTACTGTTAGGCCATATTGAGGAATAATTAAGTTAAAATACTTCAGATTACTTAAGAAAAGGGAGGGTCACAGAAGAGAGAGAAGCGGAGAGAAGCTATAGATCCGAAGAAGAGGCTATGAGAAGAAGAAGAAGAAGAAGAGGAAGAAGAAGAAGAAGAAGAAGAAGAAGAAGAAGAAGAAAAAGAAGAAGAAGAAGAAGAAGAAGAAGAAGTGAAAATGAGAAGAAGAAGAATTAGTAGAAGAAGAAGATTGAAAGTAGATTAAGCCGAAGAAAATCGGAAAGTAAAACTGAAGTATATCAGCATCGGACGACGGTTGAACAACATTCAGACACATAATTATGATTTTCAAACTTGTTCCTGTGAAATAGTACTGTGAATTGTAAATGTAAATATGAACAAAAGTCCTCTATGGACATAATAAAGAAATGAAATGAAATCCGAGAGCAACGTTGCCAATAAATCGACTATGCATGCTTTTGAAAGTCAGAGAATGATCGACTTGATCGCTTAGCTGTCACATCTTATAGGTTTCCAAACTGATCAAGTTTCACAAAATTTGATGATGTGGACATTTTAGACTTTAGGAAAAATCCGAAATCAAAATATATTAAGGCAGCCCCTCATAAATATGAGACTGACTGCATGCATGTAGTTTTGAAATTGCCGTCGTTACCATGAGACTATGAGCAGTCCCAGGTCGAAAATCCCATAGAGACCAATAGAGACCATTAGAAAAATTCTATTGGTCTCTAATGGTTTATGTTGGAGTCTATCGGTTTCTGTTGGACCCATAGAATTGAATCCAATAGAAACCATTCAAACCATCAGAAACCAATAAAAACTAATAGCACCCATAGAAACCAATAGAAATAGAAACCAATAGGACCAATAGAAACAAATAGGACCAATAGAAACCAATAAGACCAATAGAAACCAATAGGACCAATATGACCAATAGAAACCAATAGGACCAATATAAACCAATAAGACCAATAGAAACCAATAGAACCGATAAGACCAATAGGACCGATAGGACCAATAGAAAACAGAAAACCAATGAGACCAATATAAACCAATAGGTCCAATAGAAACCAATAGAAACCAACAGCTAAATCTATCTCATGCATATTCATGATTACTTTATACGTGTTCACAGAAAATTACATTTATCATAATTTGTTCAGCAACTTATGACAATGTACATCAATTTTGTGAATTCTATCTTATTTCGGCAACTAATGACCAATAGATTATTTGTTTAATCATGTTACAATTTCATTCACGTTTTAGCAATAGATATATTGATTATAATGATTACTAACCAAGAAATAATCCATGTATGTTTATTATATAGGAATAGTACAAGCCTTCAGTTAAAATAAAGGATATTCTTAAACTCACTTCAAGTGATCTATATGACGAAGTTACTGCAATTGAGTTTATAATATACTTTTTTTGGTGGGCAGTTGCTAAAATCGATTTTGATTTATCATTATTGATTTACCCAGGCGCGTACGCAGGATTTTTTCAAGGGGGGGGGTTTTAACATTTATAAATCGGTCCGAAAATTTCGCAACGACTCAGTAAGAGGACACATTTTTTTTTTTTTTGGTCCCAAAAAAATCGCAACGACTCAGCCGACCGCTGAATAAGCGGGGGGGGGGGGGGGGGGGGGGGGGGGGGGGGGGGGGGGGGTAAGAGGACACTTTTTTTTTTTTTTTGGTCTCGAAATTTGGAAATTTGACATTTTGCTTGGGGGGGGGGGTAAGGTCACCTTTTTAGGTCGGCCATGGGAATAATTTTTTTTTTTTTTTTTTTTTTTTAATAATTAAAAAAAAAAAGGGGGGTTTACACACAAAAAATTTCCAAAGGGGGGGGGTTTAACCCTCCAAACCCCCCCCCCTGCGTACGCGCCTGGATTTACCAATAAACCATTGGACTATTGGTTTCAATAGGGCATTCCGAATATGGGACCATTAGAAACCCATAGAAAAATCTCTAATGGACCAACAGGAACCCATATAGAAAATATCTAATGGACCAACAGAAACCCATCATAGAGGAAAATATCTAATGGACCAACAGAAACCCATAGAAGACATGGGTGGATGCTGGTCCAATAGAAGCTTTCTGTTGGTCCATCAGCATTTCTTTCTGTGGGTTTGTGTTGGTCCAATAGATATTTTCTAATGGTTTCTGTGGGTCCATCATTTCACTTTCCCTATTGAAACCATTAGACACCAATAGCTCTAATGGTTTCTGATGGTCCAATAGGATCGGATCCTAATGGAATTTCGACCTGGGGTAAAATATGATTCCCATTTTACTTAAAATTATGTACGACTCACTTTAAAAATTCAAAGACCGTAATAGGTATTATTGAGGCTCAAAAATTCCAATAGACGACGCATAAGTCCCAGAAAAAAGAGGCCAGATGCTGTTGTTTATATACCAGTTTTATTCGTTACAATATAGCTTTGTTACTCAACGTTATACGTGCTCCGGCCGCTTCACTGCTTGCACATGTACTACTACAATATGTTCGCGTGCTTAGTTTAGGCAGTAACCACTCATAGCTAGTATACTGTTTAGCAGGAGCGCTTGCTCGTTTGGCCGGTCTGCTGCTGAGAAATCTGAGCAAAATGTCAAAAAGACGTTTAGATATCGATGATTCATACAGTAAAAGGAAGGGAGAGTCAGACTATAGGTAATGATAATGATGAAATATTTAATTGATTGCGTTTTGTAATGTATAAATACTTATTTTATCTTGATT